CGTGTGTAGTGATTAGAAAGGGTATGGCCAAGTGGCTTAGGTACCTTCTCAAGGATGTGCCAGCATGTCCATGGATGGGGATGGTGGGGTGAGACTACGAGCAAGTTTGTTGCAGCACAGAAATATGTGACATTTTAAATGTCAGGAGTGAGAATTCGAAAGCTTTGACAGGGCATTTCTGTTCCAAGTTCATCTTTCTTCTGAATGCTGAGGTAAAAAATGATGGTAAAAGGGTATTTGCCACCAATGTCTTTAACAAGGACAGGTGTGTCAGGAGAGGACTTGTGCAGTATGAAATTGGTGTCAAAATGGGGGGGTTTTGAAAGGCAAAGTATAACCAGCTATTCAGAGGCAGGGTTTATGTCATCATACAAAGAATTTTTGTTGTTGTTACTGGTGTTTTTCCAAGTGTGGATATTCCAGATGCAAGATCTCTGCAGACTTCGGTGCAGCTCACCTTTGGGCATCTTCACATTAGCAGCTTCTGGAGGTCTCCTTTCCCACACGCTCCTGGGTACTGCATTAGATGTGAAAATCTCTCTTTGTGTTGTTTTGCCTGGCTTTGGACTGTTTTTTACAAGAAAACTCAGAGCCAGCACAACCCACTCCCACTTCAGATGGGCTGAAATAATCTGTGTCGCACCCTTGCTGAAATCTCTTCTGCAAGACTAAAACCCGTGTTTCCATTGCTGTGTGGTCATGTAATCGGTGGGATAAAGTTTTGTTGGGGGTTTTTTTGAGGTGGTGTTTTTTGGAGGTGTGTTTTTGTTAGTTATATGGGGAATTAAAGATCACTTTCTGTTAACATAAACCAAGCAGGAAGTCGGGACATCTCAGGCTGGTGTTTGGTAGATGGCTGATACCACCTCTGCTTGCTTCCACCACTGCTAGAATTTACAGAAAATAGTAAAGGGGAATTTTCTGCAGACGCTCCTAAGTATTACCAGAAATAAACTTCAAACATGTGGCTTAAAACATGCTGAGAAACCTTTTTTGTCTTTAGGAAATCTTCCCTTGGGTTTTTCTTGTAACATAGCTGAACTGAATTCCTCTGGTGTGCTGTTAGGGGAGCTGTACCTGTGCCGTGGATTTGAGACCTTCCAGATCGGGGTCTGCTCAGTCCTGCCTGGGTCTGCTCAGTCCTGCTTGTTGCTGCCTTGTGGCAGCACCTCTGTGCTGCATACTGAATTAATACTTGTCTGATAGAGTTACTGCTTGTTGGCACAGTCCAGAATTTCTTGATTCCTCTGAGTGAGGATCCCAATAAAGAAGCAAAAACAAAGTTCGGTCTCTCCTTCGCTGAGCCGTCTTTGCCTTGTTTGAGGTGCTGCCTGTGTGCCGTGCTGGCTAAAGTAGGTTCTTGACATGGCATTAAAAAAGGTTGCATATCTGGGCCACATTTCCATCAAAACCATCTTTGGGGGCAAGTGAGGTAAGACCTTAGGGAACCTCGGGGACCAGCGATGACTCCACGTGGGCTGGAGCTGAGTTAGACTTTGCAATGAACCTGAGACCTTAAATTGGACACGTTAGCAGGTGAATAGCCTCGAGTGTGTGTTAGCACATACGGTGTGCTGGAACTGCAATACTGTGTTCAGTGCTGGGCCCTCAGCTCAAGAAGGACAGGAACTGCTTGGAAGAGTCCAGCAGGGCCACAAAGATGCTGGAGGGAGTGGAGCATCTCCTGCTGAGGAGCGGCTGAGGGAGCTGGGGCTCTTGAGCTTGGAGCAGAGGAGACTGAGGGGTGCCTCATTCCTGGGGATCCATTGGGAAAGGGCAGTGTCAGGAGGAAGGAGCCAGGCTCTGCTCTGGGTTGTCCAATGCCAGGACAAGGGGCAATGGTCCCAAGCTGGAGCACAGGAGGTTCAAGCTGAAGATGAGGAGAAACTTTGAGAGTGTGAGGGTTCTGGAGCATGGCCCAGGCTGCCCAGAGAGGTTGTGGAGTCTCCTTGTGTGGAGACACTCAAAGCCCTGGCCGTGTTCCTGTGTGACTGCTCTGGTGATCCTGCTGTGGCAGGGGTTGCACTGGGGGAGCTTTCCAGGTCCCTTCCAGCTCCTCATATTCTGTGATTCTGACTGGGAAGGAGCATAGCACTGAGTCTGTGGGCTTTTTGAGGATTATTGGACATTACCTCTTACACGTAGTTATGTTGATCTCTTTGGAATAATCTCTTTTGCTGTTCAAAGTGTATATTGACACCAGTTGTGTGTGGTGTGAGGGACTTAACTGTGGGCTCCATGCTAGAGTAATTTTTTCTAAAGGTATTTTCAACGGTGATAATTATGAGCTATTAGCTAGAAACTACACTTAGCTCTTTTCTTTATCCCTGATATGAACTTTTTCCAGTTAAGGAGGGGAGAGCAACTGATGCTCCTGTGAAAATGTTCTTTCTCTTGAACTAGAAGAGAAGGGAACGGTTGGCCCGTTGTAGGCAGCTGACTTGTTCCTCTGCTGCAGTGAGCTTGAAACAACATTGGCTTAGGTTATTCGTGTTGATTCTTCAATATTTATTCATGGCTTTCAACTTTAGTGTTCAAATCGTGAAAATACACAGACGTGGTTGTCAGAGAATGTAATCTCTGATTCCTCATGGCAAAGTCAAAGACACATCAGTGATATAATGTGATTGTATTATAATAATATATTAAATAGTATAGATAATAAATACATTTAGAAGCACATAAATATATATATATATAAAGTATAAAGTTCAAAAAGCACATCTGCCCCTTTGCTTTTCCAGAGACACAGCCCTGGTTGAGTTCCAGTCTTTGAGGTGATACCTGGGTTTTTGCCTCGCTAAACCGAGGGAGATCACACTGGGAGGCTACAGCTCATTCCGGGTTATCCTAAAACTGGAACCATGGTAGGGATACCCCGATGAGTCTGAAAGTCAACAAGGAAGCTGGTGTTGGTTATAGGTGCGTAGGTGTGTATCTGATGAGCAAGCTTTTCCCTTGAAAGGTGAGCTGCTTGTTCTAACACACCTCTCTGATTGACCCCAGGCTAATTTTCTTAGTTCAGTATGATGGTTACTAACTTGGGGACTGTCTGGCATTATCTGCCACTTTTTTTAGGGGAAAAAAGAAGTCATCTGCTGCAGACTCAGCCTACTGATACAGTACTCAGTGGTACTGGGCATCGCATCCCTGTTGGACTTGTTTAAACTGATGGACGTGCCCTTTCCAGATGCAGCCGGTGTCCCATAGATTTGGTGGTTTGTGGCCCAGCAGATCTTGCAATCTGCTCCTTGTAAGCTAAATCTGTGCTTCTTTAACCTTTGCTCAGGGGTTATTTTTCTAAATCCTGTGGGTTTCTCTCAGGTACTTTTCCACTTCACTTGCCGCAGTGTTCAGCTTCGGTTGCGGTGGTCCTAGATGAGGCCTCGGTGCCAGGTTGTGAAGCTTTAATTCCCTTTCTCTCCCTAGGCTGTACTTTTATGTACACCACAAGCTGGTGTAAGCCAGCCCTGCCACCAGGAGTAGCTGGTGTGAACATCTGAGTTGGTGTGAGCTGTCCTGGGGGGCAGATCCATGTGACAGATACCACTTTCTACTGGAACAGTTTTGCAGTGGCTGTCCCCACTGTCCCCACTTGCAAAGCCAACACGACCGACATCCCCTTTTTAACCAACATTAAATTCAGTTCATGCTCATCTGTGAGGTGTGAGCTGTGCTGTTTGAGGGCTGTTGTTTATAACCTCCCTATATTTAGCAGCAGGGTTAGAAGGGTTATGGCCTCGACAGTCTGGAGGTGGAAGGGGGCACGTGGCCGGTGGCATCTTCAAGTACGTGAGGGGTTCATGGCCCAACTTCGCTCTGCTCTCATTGCTCTGCAGTGCACCAGGCAGTCGTGGAAAATCAGATGGGTGTGGTGTGGACACATCTAGATATAATTTGTAAAATTACATTTAGGTGTAAAAATATAAGCTATAAGATGCATTATTTTCAGAGGTTTATATCGAATTTGACCCTGTATAACAGTTAAGAGATTGAAAAGTTGCTGATCCATCACTGGTGAAGGTAGCTAATCTATAATCTAGAGCATATGAAACCAATTGTTTTCTTTTTTGGGGGAACATACTATTAAACAATGCATTTCTTTACACTATTTGCACATTTGTATGTGCAAATATAAGCCCTGCCTGTGCTGCAGAGGCAACTGGACTGGGATGTTTGCATATGTAAAACAGGCTGTGGAGTGAAACCTGTGTGGAGCAGAACTGCACAGCTGGGCCAGGATTTGCTGTCAGCTGTATAAATGAGTGGGATGGATAAATACCTTCTTATGCTGCTGTTCTGTATGGGCCTTCAGCTTTAGTCATAGCAACTGTTTTAAAAAATAAACTCTTACAACATTTCCTCGAGTCCAAACATTTCTACTGTGTAACGTTAGTGTGGAGGGGGCGTTGGTTTCAAGTATACTTAAAATATTTGAAACGTAGTTGCATAATTGTTGTGCCTGTAGCTAGAGCCGTGCAGTTTAGAATGTTAAATTATTGGCAATTGAAGCTAATCACTTTTTTCCCCTTACCTTCAAAAAGAAAAGGTGTATTAGAGCTCAGTCCACTTCATTTTGGGTGGGAAAGGTGTCATAACTGGACACTTTAAATGGGAAAATTCTTCACTTTCAGAAAATGTTAAGCCAAGCCTGTGGAATAAATAACCTGTTTGCCAAAATTCTGGGTTTGGACTTGGCCTTATTTCCCTGAGATTTATTTTTTTTAAATTTTCTATTTTATTTTAATTTTTCAAAGGTATTCGGGAATTTGGGACAGGTAATGAAGCTGCCAGTTGAAAAATAGTTTTAATTAACTGTAGTAAGATGTTAAGGAGTTAGGCAGTTGTGAAGAGTGACTGTTAAGCAGCTGATTTTCTGGCATGTTTGCAGATGATTTTTTAACTAATAGTGCATGTGGCTGGAATCTAAAATAGTGTCTTTGCATTTCTTTTGTGTGACTTTCCTACTAACCCGACTGATGAACCGCCGTGCCCTGAAGGAATCGGTAAATTGTCCACTGCCGATGGCAAAGCCTTCGCAGATCCCGAGGTCCTCCGGAGGCTGACGTCCTCCGTCAGCTGCGCCCTGGACGAAGCTGCCGCCGCGTTGACGCGGATGAGAGCAGAGAACAATCACAACGCGGGACAAGTGGACAAGTATGTAGCGATCGCTCCCCATCCCCGCTTCCCCAGCTATAACTTTGTCATTTTAATTCCAAATTCAGGTAGTTTTATATTTACTGCTTGGTAAAGTCTGCTGCACTGCTAGCAGAAGCACGGTTATTAAATCTGAAGGTGCAACTGCTGTCCCATCAGGTTATTGCCTCAAAGTATAAGAGATCAGTACCAAAGAAAGTGACTTTGTAACCTGTTCTGTGTACTACACAGTTGATTTCTTACTTCAAAACTGGGTTAATTTCTTAGCTGTAGCAAAGCTGGTGATAGTTCTCTAATTACTGCCTCAGCGTGCTTTGTTGGAAGCTCATTAATTAGTTCATTGGTATTCTCTTCCAACTTCTAATACAATACGTACAGTGATTTGCCCCGGGATCTTGCTCAGGAACTTGGGGAAAGTGAAGCTGTATTATCTGGTAACTTTTCATAACCGTTAATTAGTGAGGACGGTATTTAACTCCCACGAGGAGAGAGATGAGGATTTGTCCCACGTCATCTTAAAGCTTTCTTCTTCATTGGTAACTTTGAAGCATCTTTAGGGGTCCTGAAATATTTTCTACTCTGAGGAGTAATGCAAGTGATTTCCAAACTGTTGGGATGGTGTGAGAAGCTGAGGAAAGGGACCAAGAGAAATAAGAACTCCAGCAAAGGGAAGTAGCAGGGGGCTCTTGTTCCCTTCCCCTCCCACCAGGGCATTTACTGAGCTTTGGTTTCCGTGATTCCTCGCATGTATTTTCTAAATCAGATTCTATCATCACTTGGAGAAGTGCAGCTTGCTCTTGTTTGCACTTGTGTTTAGCAGTGCTTTAATGATTGTCTTTGCTGTTAGACTTTCTTTTTTAAACAGAAAATGATTTAAAGGGCAGGTGATTTGGTTTGAAATCAGTTGAAGCTCAGCTCGCCTTCTTCAAGATTTGTTTGTAGTGTACTTTCCTGGGTCTCAGGGGAAATAGCTATTTCTCTACCTCAGAGGTTAGTGGTGGTTGAAGTAGTGATTACAGACTTCTGAGCTTTTAGATGCCAAGAACTCGGGGTTCATCTTGTCTTTCCTTCTCACCCTTAGTTTGTAGTTACCTCTTAGGGCTTTTTTTAGGGGTGAGTTGTAGTGATCCATGTAGGATTTGTGCTGTTTAAAGAAATAGGTAAGATACATTTTCTAATACGCCTCAGTGTTAATGTTATGGGTCTTTAAGCAAAGACTTTTTCCTTGCATAGAAAAGCTGCCTATCGTAGATTTATTTTGAGCTTACCTTGTGGTGACTGATTTTGCAGTCGCAGTTTGGCAGAAGCATGCTCAGATGGGGATGTCAATGCTGTCCGGAAGCTGCTGGATGAAGGCAGAAGTGTCAATGAACACACGGAAGAAGGGGAGAGTCTCCTTTGCTTGGCCTGTTTTTTTTGATATTATGAATTGGCACAAGTAAGTAACAAGTGTAATCACAACTAAGCCTTTGGGAAGCATTGTCTAAGGGGCTTCTTTTGACAGATAAACATTTTAGTTATTCCATTTGTAAGAATTTTTTATATATATCCCCATAGCAGGGTGGGTTGGACTAAATGGTCTTTAAGGTCCCTTCCAACCCAAACCATTCTATGATTTATAATGTAAACAGAGTATCAGTTAACACAGCTTATTGTGGACTTCCAGTTATTGTTTGTCTTTGTAATGGAAAATGCTGTCCCGTGTGCCTTCAGGTTTAAGGGACTTGTCTGAGGAATGTGTCGTGTTTTATGATGTATCTACTGGCGTTGTTCTTGATGCAGTCAAGCTGTTCTGCCAAGCAGACGTTGCAAGAGGATCTAAAATAGCAGCAAAATCAAACAGTTCAAGTGATTACCTTCTAAAAACTCATTTCCCAGTCACACAATCCTGTTTTCAAATCACATCTGTATCAACAGTGCACTAATTTGTGTAGTGGTTTGGCTTTTATATTTGGGTATCTAAGGGCAGAATTTGTGCTTTCTCTAGGTGCTGCTAGCAATGCATGCAAACGTTGAAGATCGAGGGAATAAAGGAGACATAACTCCCTTAATGGCAGCTGCCAGCGGAGGCTATGTAGATATCGTGAAACTGCTCCTTGTTCATTGTGCAGATGTCAACGCGCAGTCTTCAACAGGTAACTGGGGAGCAGCAGCATGAGTTAATGAGACTGGCACATAAGATGGGCAGCTGTTCTGAACATCTGGGCTTCTCTCTGATAGTTTCACTCACAAAAACGTGACAGGAACTGGTAAGAACAGGCCAGATACAGAGCAGACCTGGCCATTAGTAAATTTTTAACATGAGCTGTAACAGAAAGCACTGTTCCTGTGAAAACCACAGTGTTAGGTGACCAGAAAAATACATCAAACGTAGTTTTTCCCAGCAAGACCACCATGGGACACATCTGGTTAAGACCAGTTATTTCCATCTATTGCTTTTTACCAAAGGAGGGACAATTGTAAAGCATTGAATGTCATCTACATTGCTGATGCTTGACCACAGCTTAACTAACCTTGCTGAGAGTATTAACCTGCAGTTGGGTTCTGCTAATATTAAGATAGGATTTCGACTTTGTTCAAATTTTTAAGAAGTCGAGAGCCTGAACTATGAAATGATCTTTTTATCTTGATCTTTAGTCATGTTAAGCAGAACTTGCATTAAAATTGACTGTAGCATTAAAACGTGAGCTGTATGTGATTGTGTCACAGTACTGGAGTTTTAAATTTTATAAATTTATTTTCATCCAGGCAGTAGAAGTTTTTCAAGGGACTATAGGGTATATACAAAAAAAATGAACACCATCCTTGCCCAAAGCATGAAAATTACCCATTGATCTTTCTGTGTATTTGATCTCTTTGTGTGCTGAAGTAAGAAACATAATAATCAAAGAAAAAATAAACCTGATTTATAATATTGGTTTAGCGTTAAGACTCTTTCACGTGATAGTTGTATATTTGATACCTAGCCTGAAATTGTTGGCTGGAGTAACGTTGCCGTGTGGTAAGAGGCTGCTGCTGGTGATGTCCTGGGTTTTGTTTAGAGCTGTTAAAACTCATTTCCTTTCCTGTATCAGGAGCGGGTGATGGCAAGGGCTTTCATGTCGACTTCTTCTTCTCTGCAGGGAACACAGCTCTCACTTACGCTTGTGCTGGGGGCTTTGTTGACATAGTGAAGGTGCTATTGAAAGCCGGTGCTAACATAGAAGACCACAATGAGAATGGCCATACCCCCTTAATGGAAGCAGCCAGTGCAGGTCATGTTGAGGTTGCGAGAGTATTGCTGGAATATGGTGCAGGAATCAACACTCACTCCAACGAGTTCAAAGAAAGTGCACTTACACTTGCATGCTATAAAGGTATTGTCTCTTGCCTGCTTTTGTATTTTTTGTTGAGATTTATTTCCTAGGATTTATCTGACTAAAGCTTCCAGCCATACTTTGAATATTTTTCTGAAGAGTTTTTGAATTCCGGATTTTGCCTTTAAACTTGATGTCAGGAAATGCTCATCCATGGTGTAGTGGTATTAAGCCTGTCTACTTGTGTCCAGATGTGGGCATGTATTTGATCTGTTGCAGATGAAAACTTGTGACTGGCTGCATCCAAAGCTGTGCTTTGACACACCACCACTCTGCCCTTCCCCACTACCGCATCCCCTGTTTCATCCAGATTCCCCTCACCAACTGTCTGCAGGTTCTGAAAACGTCTGTTAGTTGTTAGAAGGATGTGAAGTTGGAACAGATGTTCCTGGAATGCCTGATGGGGTGAAAAATTATTACTGGATGCTCTGCCCCCAGTGTAATTTTGGAGGGTGTCTATGAATTGTTACGTATTGTGAACTTCTGTGGACTTCTGACTTAATTTTTATTGCTATTTCAATCTATGTAAAGTCACTTAGTGCAATGGTAATCCAATGTGCTTCCAATTTTTCTTTCCCAAACCTCCATAAAATTTCCAACAAGTGTTTTCCTCCTAATAGAAGTTTTAAGGATGCAGATTATTGTCACAGTAACTTTAGGTTTTGCCTCTGTGGTTAGAGTTGGAGGATAAATACTATGTATAACCCACCTGAAAACTTGCATCTGCGTTTGTCATGGACTTCCTGCAGCACATAGTAGTTCCTTAGGGAGAAATTTCACTAATAGTACTCCTGGATATGCTGGAGGGGCATTCTTGTGACCTAAAAATCAATAGAGTGATGTAATGCAGGGTCTTCATTCCCTGGAGATTTCCTCTATTAGCTTTGGCAAGACGGTTGAGCTACCTTGTTTTCCTATCAGTTCCTACAAGTCTTGTCTTGGAGGATGAAATGTAAAATTAGTAAAGGACAAATTCGAAAATGACAGAAGCCATAACAGAGTTGAAAACTCGTGTTGGTAAAGTTCAGTAGGAGCTTTCAGAAATAATGTCAGATAACATCGTATGATGTAATGTGTGTGTATTAGTGCAGAAAGTTGTCTGAATGCTGTGATTAAAAAGCTTGGAGTTAAGTTCTTATGTACGTGGACCTATTCCTCTAAAAGATAATCCACCTCCAGTTGGATGGTGCCTTGGAAAACCCAAGTGCTATATACACACTGAATAAGGATAAGCACAATCTCTTATGGCTTGAAGCCCCAAGGAAAGGTTCCTGTTGTGTAGAAGTGAATTACAGAGGTTTGTCTTCATCTCACAGTCGGGCAGTATCTGTAGGAAAGACCATCTGAAGTCTGGCTGTCC